CTGATGAAAAATGTATTAGAGCAAGCAGTGCATAAACCCCATCATAATCTAGAATGTGTGGGGACAGAGTGGGATTTACAGGAATAATGCATATATATGCATCCTACAAGCTAGGAATGTGAAATCAACTTTTGACACAGCCTTCTGGCTGCTATTCAGTCTCCTTTCTCCCGTCCTCTCCTTGCAACACAATCCTGCTTTTGTTTGAAGCAGCGAGTGCCCAGTCCAGGAGAGACACGTGCTTTCTCAGACTCGCCAGCAGCTACGGTGCCCGTGTGACCCATTCTAGACGATGACATCCAATCTTTTCCTGACTGAAGGGAAGTCATGGCTGCCATTGCTCAGCCTCTTCCTGGCTTCCTTACTTGAAGGCACAGTTGATGTTTTGAGCTGGAAGAAAAGGCTGAAAAACCAGAGATTCTGCTCACCGAGCCAATGCCTGCAGCCGCCATGCTGCTTAGTGAGCAGAAAAGCAAATCCTTATTTGTTGAAGTGGCTCTAAGTCTTGTTTTCTGCTACTGACAGCCAAGCACGTTCTTAATGCACACAGATATATTGTCTAAATTGGGTTTTGTCCACCTGAGGATCCACCGCGCTCAAGATAAACAACTAAAACACTAGAAAAAAAACTCACATCTATGGCCTAAGAAAACAATCAGATGCCGACAAAGATTTACATACGAAACTGTTCACCCCAGTGAATTGTTTCTGTATTCAAAAAAGTTATTTTGAATTATCATAATTGGTGAAAAGTTGAAGATAACTTGAATGTTCAAGAACAAGAAACCTTAGAAATTATAATCATATGATAACATATAATACATCCATTGTAATCCACATTCAAAGAACTAAAGCTAGAGCCAGCTGAGTGGCTCATTGGTTAAGAGTTGGCTTGGGATGCCAGCTCTGAGCAGCAGGGCCCCGGTTCGGATCCCACATGGGCCAGTGACACTGCGCCCTCTACAGCTAAGATGGTGAACAACAGCTCAACCTGGAGCTGAGCTGCTGTGAGCGGCCGGCAGCTGGCGTGAGCTGCCATGAGCTGCTGTGAGCTGCCGTCCAATGGGCGGCGACTGATCTGCCTCAGCTGGGAATAGCACAGTGATCACAATACCAACAAGGGCCAGTGAAGCGACGTCCTCCACAACTAGACTGAAGAACCAAAGGACAGCAACTTGTCTGTTCCCCTTCCCCGATTCCCCAATGCTGTTCCCTCCCCCAATTCCCCAATAAAATCTTAAAAAAAAACAAAACTAAAGCTAAGTGAACATAATAAGAATGTACAACAGTATCACTTCAATTATGAAAAGAATATCACACACACTTACACATGAAGAAAATTTACCAAAATGTTCACATTAGCTATCTGTGGATTATGCAGTTGTGGGGGATTTTCTTCTCTATCCTTTTATGTATTTCCCAAATTTTATACAATGACGAAGCATTGTTTTAAAAACCAGAAAAATTGTTTTTTAAAAAACCCAGACAATGTACTGTAAACATATCATTAGATCTCGGTCAGCTCTGGTTGGGGAGGTGGTTCTTTTGGAAAGCAGGAAAGGAGAGCTGGTTCTAGGTCCACTGATGGGAACACTGTCAAGGATTATAGTTCACCAGAAGCTTCATAACAGAGACAGTGATATGAAAAAAACAAAACAAGGAAAAGGTCATGCAATGAGAAAGTCAAGGGTCAGGACCAAGACGTTCTTAACCTCGTTGGACCTCACGCTTAGGCTCTGTACTGGGGAGTCCACACTGAGCGCATGGCCTTCCATTCTGAACGGCCCAGTTCCAGAGAACCAGCTAGAACAGCATCAGAGGAGCCTGCCTGGAGCACCGAAGGCCTGGGAAGCATCTCGCAGGAGGAGGGTTGGGGAAACTGGGAGCACGACAGATCACTGAGGACACTGGTGAGCTTTAGCAACTCACAGGTTTGTTTAGCTTTTGTTTAGTTTTGTGTTTTGAGATACCTCCCGCTGCTGCTCCTACGAGGGCAAACAATCAGGCGGTTTCTAGGCACCTTAGCGAACCCTTATTTTTCCTCCTTTGCCTCGAGGGAGTGGAGGCTGGCTGCACCTCCCTCTCAGGGAGATGGGGAGGACCAAAGGTGATCATAATGAAATTACTAATTAGAGCAGCAGCCATCTATCTATTCATTATCCAGAAGGTTCTAGGGCCATGGGGACAATATGCAGCCCCCTAGTTTGTAGATGACAAAGTGGAGGACCACAGACCTGAAGCCACATCCACGGCCAGTGTCAGAGCTGGATTTGAACCTACATTTTTCTGACTTCAAAGTCCATTTTCTCTGCACCAGACCCTGCCACAACTAGTATGGAAGACAATAATGAATGTGACTACTTCGCAAGCCCTAAAGTATCAAATAAATGTGTCTTTAGAACTCTCTGTGCAATTCTCAAAATAAATGTTTATAAAATCAAGCTCAAAGGCAAGTTGTTAATAATAAATGGAAGAATTATGTTTTTAAAAAAAAACTCACAAGTTTGACACAAAACGAATTTGATATATATTGAATAGCTTCATTGGGCAGAACTGGAACCAATGGAAAGAAATTGTAGGGGGAACCATCTCAGCTCAGTGTAGGTCAGAGCGGTCAGAACTACCTCTGGGGAAGTTGCCTGACACACAAGGACCCTGTCAGTCTTTTCCAGCAGAGGCTGAGTGATTAGCTATAGGGGATTTGCAGCAGGAATTCCAACACTGAGTGGACCTGAGGCTAGAAGTCTACTGACGCCCCTCTGATTACGATTCTATCATGTGAAGTTCTTTACGTTGTCTTAATCGGTTATCAGACAGTCCCTTATCGTCAGGCAAATCAGGGCCACTTAAGACCAAGCCCCTTTATGCACTTTAACATATGGTTTTCCAGAACTTTTAAATATGCTGCATCATGTAAGAAAGATCACTTGGAACCAACCAGTAGAACCAGAATAGTAAAACTCAGGTTCTGGTCTGGGACCTGTCCAGGAACTGG